ATGAATTTTCAATGATTAAAACTCCTTCAAGATGTTATTTTGTAGAAGGTTCTCTAATCAAAGTGAAACTGATTGGCACTTTTTGCTTGTGAAATTCTTCTGGAGTCTTGCTTTCCAGTTGACTTTGATCTTCAAAAATTTAAATGCAATGTCAATCATTATCTTGTCTTAATTCCTCTTCTTTTATTGTTCTTTCGCCTCAATGTTTTCTTTTTCTCATACTCAGTAACTTTTCGCATCTTAGTTGCTTTATTGTCTTCTTTGAGGTGAAATGATAAAAGAAAAGAAAAAAAAAAGAAAGAAGTCATATTTTGAACAATATGTTGAATTTTTTAAATTATTTCATAGGCTGATCAGTGTCCTGATGTAGTTTTCTAGTTGGACATTGTAAATTTTTGTGAAGCTGATATTTTCTTTCAAAGACATTTAGGTGTCAAAGACTTAAAACCTTGCCCAAATAATCCTAAACTAAAATGTAAATTAGGAGTAATGTAATTATTAATGAAAGAGGATTTATTCTTAAAATTGAGTGGTTTGTAGTTAAACGCTTTAAAATATATTTGCTGAGAATTAAAATCAGAGACCCAAATTAATGTGAAATAAAGCCCCAAGTAACTGGGTAGAAACTCCATCTGATGTCAAGATATTGATAGGGGACCAGAACATTAGCATAAGTTTCTGGTTTCCAAACAATTGAAATTCCAAAATTCTTACTTAAGCCAACATCCAAAGATGCTATGTTGCGTAATGTTGCAACAAAATAGCTGACAAGTCAACCAGTGTTGGTCATTTAATGTTGAATTTAGTATAGAGCACCCTTATTAGCTATTACCCTGTGATAAGGTACATGGGAATGATTTTACTATAAAAATAAAAAGTTAAGTTAGCTGATGTCAAATTTTGTAAGGTGGGGGGCGGGGGAGGGCACCCATTGAGAATCTAAATCACTACTCAGTAGTAACAGTCACTCACACTAACCATTAACCCATGCAGAAGCATCTACTAAAAAGGATAAAAATTGTGGTTTATACTTAAAACAGAACTAATAAACATCTTGAAAATATATGCCTAACACAGAATAACAACTGCATCATGATCTCCATGATAAACTTGTGTAGAATGTGTAACAAGCAAATATAAAAAAATTCTAAGAAAATCAGAAAATAATCAAAACAGCTAAATTCCCAAGGGTATCATGTATAGATTTTACAAGCATTTGATTTTAAACTTTGCTATGTATATATAAGGCATGATGATATCACCCTTGTCAAAATTTTTACTTTTAAAGAGGCATCTTTAGGATGTTGACCATCATGGCTCTCCAGTTTATTTTAATATTTGAATTGCCATGATGTTCTTGGGAAAGATAGTGAAATAGTTTCTCACTGTCTTCAGTTTTGATATCAGTTTTCCTTTTCCTAAATTGGCTGCTACACAAATATAGAGAACCCAATCTATTCTGCTATTTCAACCATTGTTGTAGCAGAAAGTGATGGATTCATGCCTTTTCCAAGGACATTAACATGATAGTAACCAAAACAGATAATGGCTGAATTTGAATATGGTTGACTAATTCTACTTTCTTTGCTGATATTCATTACAGTACTTGCACATCACTTCTGACAATAAAAATAATGTTGACTGTATTTCTAGCCCATTTTTCTAAAAAGAATATTGTCACCTAATAAGTATTAACGGCTGTGTTTGTTTTTTCTTTTTTGTCCAGGATATGCTGTCGTCAAATTTTGACAAATAAAATGCTGATGCAATAAAAAAAGAGAATAGTGCATCTACTCACTTTACTGAATTAAACCCCAATACCTGTATATAAACATTTTCTTTTATATACAAACAATGAAATAAAAGTAGGCACCTGCCCTCTTAACACCTTCAGCTGGAGAGTGGGGAGGGGAAAGAGACTAGAGATGGGTGGGTGGGGAGTAGGTAGAGAAAGAATTTGGGTTTATATATATTATAAATGTATATATATGTACACAAGTTTTATTTTATACAAATGAATTTGTTAACATTCTCTGCCATATGATTCCACATTTAAACATACATAGCCAAAAACAGTCAGACATTTGCATTGCCACAACTGGGGGGGGGAAGCAGGCTTACAATGTCTGCTTGACATATTTTGAAATATTTGAATTAATTGTTTTTCTGCTGACACTGAAATTGTAATAGTTCTTGACAACATTTTAAGGGGAAAAAAAAAGGCAAAAATGGTGTGGCTTAGAATAAGATTTGCTTTTTGAAACTATATTTTAAAGAACTACATTTTAACTTTAAAATGAAAACCTACATTTGTACTATGACCAACATGAATATGCTTGAGAGAGAAAATCAACTTTCATTTTCAGAAATTGTTAAAACTGATTAAAATCTCACCAATTTTCTAATGACTTAAATTGACAAATAAACTAAATTATATAATCAATAAAATAAATTTTATCAAAAAATACTCAAAACATTGCTATTTTGTAAATTCTAGAAAGATTGCCCTTTCATAAGTGAAAAAAAATTCTATTAACTCTTCAGATCCTAATGAGGTTGCAAGATAAAGAAACTATCTGCTAATTGCTAATATTAATTGTTAATTTCTGCAAATAATTCCATCTGTTTGTTAAATAATACTGTTGAGACATTATTGTCCCACCTCTGAAAAACTTGGCTCTTTAGATCTAATGTGTTTTAAGCAGATGGTAAGCTTTATTGAATCTGTTATCAACTTATTAATATTAGAAGAAAAAAAAGTTTGTGCAAAAGTTGTGTGGGTCAAACAACAGTTGTAAAATGTCAGTCAGGAGTACAGTGGGTGTGGGGTGGGTGACAGAATGAAGATAAAACAAGTAGAAAGAGGGAATTACTAAAACCTTTGGTATTGTAGTGTACAAGTCTGATACTGGCACTTCTGCTAGTCTTCACCATTTGCTATAATAATAATAATAAAAAAAAAGGTTACTTGGTGATTCTTTTTTCTGTTGGAAGACAAAAGATGACGGTGGGTTCAAAACCAAATACAAAGATGATTATATCCCTTGCTCCCATTAACAAGTGTCACTGGTTCTAGAAATAAATAGTCACTTCCACACCACCAGGCTTTCTGACATGTGTACATAAAATGATGTAAGATTGTGAATGATTGACCGATTCTTAGTGTGTGTAAGTGGCAAGTTTGCAATTTATAATAAATGCCAGGAAATAAATTTGAAAGCATGACAACAGTAGCTACTTGACAAAGTGATGTATGGATGTGATGTAACATGGGAACATCAGTATTTTAAAAAGTGTGTGTGTGTGTGTGTGTGTGTATATATATATATATATATATATATATATATTAGTGCCCTACGATAGATTTGTTGTTTGTATATGCATTAAGGGGGAAAAAAAAAACACCTTTTGGTTGGAACATTTTAACAAGTATACAGGTGTGAGATTTTCACCTCAAAGAACAAAATGAATCACAACTTTCATGTAAAGAAAAGAAAGCATGGGATCCACTTGTTCAAGTATAAAAAAAAATGGTACTGTAAATTTGAATGTGTTGGTAAAAAAAAAAAAAAAAAAAAAAAAACACACCTTTTCAGTTTACCCCCAAATGTCCAAACATTATATAAACATCACCTAATCAGTGGCAAGACAAAAAAAATTAATTACAATCAAACAATTCTTATGATATAACAACAAATGTTTGTCAGTCTGTGGTGCTTGAGCCTACAAAAATCTGAAGGCTTTTATCTTTTCTGTCTAAATTCAGTTCAGCCCTTTTTGTTGGTCTGTCAATGTATTTTTGGTTAACTGATTGTACATCATGTGTATGTGTGCACATGTGTGTGTGTTGCTGTAGCAGATTCTGTAATCCCCATTCAGATTCTGAAGAAGTCTAAAAAGTGATGATACATTTATTCTCAAGTGTTGCAAAAGTAAAACTGACTGTTTATCTGTTCCACCCCTTTTTTTTTTGTTTCTTACTTTCTTTGGTTCAAGAATTAAAAGAGTCCTTTTCCTCTGTATTTTCATTATTTTCTCCATCAGGTTTTTTTTTTTTCCATAAAAACTTTTCATATTTGTCCTTGGAAAAAAAAAACAAAACAAAAAAAAAAAAAAAAACAGTCTTCTTTGACTGAAAGTATTGAGGAGAGAATTACTCTTTCCCAAGGAGAGAAAAAAATGTCTATTTCTCTTAAAAATAATCAATATATATATATATATATATATATATATATATATTTATTCTCAATTTTTTTTTTTTTTTTTTTTTTTTTTTTTTTGACAGCTCTGCCATTGTGTTCTTTTGTCTTTTGACATATAAACAAGATTCAATATATAAATAAAATTTTACAGTGCATCTATATCTGTAGTGACCACTTTGGTTATATTAAGGAAAAAAAAAAAAAATTTAAACGTACAGCAGTATTATCAGCTTCAAGCATTGCCAATAGACATGCCATGACACACACCCATACACAAAGAATTCCATTCAACATATACCCACGTGCACACATATATGAAGTTGTGTATGTGCGTGCGTGTAAGGCTTTGGTATGTAAGCAACAAACCAGTCGACCAACATGCAAATGTATCTAAGTAAACTTTTTGTCACAGTTAAATGTCTTACAATTATCAATAAAAACATGGAAACGAAAAAGGTTGTTAGATACAACACTAAAGTCGACTGGAAGCTGACAACTGTACATTTTACTTGTAATAACAAACGTTTCTATATATATAAAAAAAAAATATCACTGCTTTTGTTGTTATTATACAGTATATTTCTGGTAGTGGCTGGATGGTTGTTGCTATGCATACTGACAGGAGCAGAAACTGGTATGCACCATGACCAATTGGTTAGCTTAGTAACATTAGTGGTAACAGCAGGAGCAGACACAGTGAAGACCAAATGGTGATGGTTGTAGTTCGTTTCACTTCCCCCCCTCTCCCTAATTAGTTTCCAGGACCGGTGTTGTTGGTTTTCAGATTGGCACGTGCCACTAGCTCTCGACCGTGGTCACACCTTCGTTACTACTAGTGCTGCTTTGAGACATGGACGAATACTGGCTGTCAGAGGTTGTACTCATTGGGCTCTCAATCTCAAGGTACTCCTGAAAAAACAGAAAAACAAACAATGTCTATTAGTATACTAAATACATTGCAACTTGATTACTCAACTAAGAAAGAAAAAAAATAAAAATCAACCTTAATATTAATATCCACAACACTGACAGCCAAATCAGACACACACACACATACACACTTGGACATGGGTTATCAAGTTCTTTTTTTGTCTTTATTAAAACTAGCCACTTTTGAATGATTTAAATTTGAAAAGAGTTTTTTTATCCAGACATGCTCAACAGATACACAAATGGTTTAATGAAGGAGGGGGGGGGGTATATATATATATATATATATAAAAATAAATAAATCCTGCCAATTTACCAAGTACAAATTGTCTACATTTATAAAAGATTATATGTTTACAATACTGCAGTAGATCTTTTAGTGATTTAGATAAAATTATCTATTTACTTTGTTTATTAATTTTTTTTTTTATAAAAAAGGTTTCTGAAAAAAAAAAAAAAAAAAAGGAAAAAAAAGAAAAAAAAAAAGAAAAGAAAAATGTTCTTTGGTTCTACAATCTCAGAGAATCCTAAAGTTAAAAATTGTTTACCATTTCACAAAAAAAAAAAAAAAAAAATTTACAGGTGTTGATTTAGGAAATTCAACCAATCAAAATAATTCAATCACACATCTGAAGATGGACCATGAACCAGCTTGTGAGAGAGAGAGAGAGAGAGAGAGAGAGAGAGAGAGAGAGAGAGAGAGAGAGAGAGAGAGAGAGAGAAACTTAGTCTCAACAGAAGAAAAAATGTTAAATGTTTCATTTAATAGAAATCAAAAAAATTGGATTGAATTTAAAATTCCTATGATCTTTATTTCTTCTGAGTAACTAAATCCATTTTTCACATCAAACTGGAATATTATGATAATTGTAAGGATTTCATTTTCTAACAATTCAACTATCTCTGATTGAGAATAATTAGAAAAAAAATCAAAATTGTTTTCGGACATTCTAACCCCCTTTTTTGATGTTCTTCATGTGATAACAATGATTGATATATAAGACCATTTTTCAGTCACCATTTAAAAAAATAAATAAAAAATTCCTGACTAAAGAAGAATGGATTGTTTTGAAAGATAATATTAAGAACAGGAAGTAGTTCAGTTGTTTATCAAGAATATAGCAACTGATAAATTCAGATTATGAAACAATGGAATCAAATTGCATTCTTGTCATAGATTATGGAATGCTTCTGGCAAGGCGCCAAAGAAGTGAGGGAGGGCACTATTTAAAAAAAAAAAAAAAAAAAAAAAAAAAAAAGAGTAAATTTAGTTTAATTCATTCATTGCAGTGACGTGCAGAGGTTTGATGATACCCAGGGTCAATGCCTTGATCCCTAAGACTCAAGTGGGGGGTGGGGCTTATAGGGCCTAGTACTGAGAAATGTGAGAAAGAAAGATATTTTAAATATGTAAAAAAAGATGAAACATAAAATAAACACTTTATTCAAATTAAATATAAACTAAATTTTTTATTTCACTCTTTGATTTGATGCCTTCTTGATATGGATGCCTAGGGCTGTAGCATCCTCTGCACTGCTTTTGCATGCTACTGATTCACTGTGAATAGATATGATTGACAACATTCTTAAGGAAAGAGAATTAGTCTTAGTATAATAATAAGAAAAGTTTCATAAGTTATAAAGATCAGTTAGTCACAAGGGCGTAGTGAAAAGTTCTTGAGTCCAGCCTACTCAAAATTTGGCCCAAACATCAAAAATATTTAGTCACACTTGTTGCACGTGATACATGTGTTTGGGGCGATCATGCATCTTTTGATACATGACTGACAAGGCAGGCACATTTTCCCCACAGTAGGCTGCCATTACATTCTGCAGGGGACTTGTGTGTAAGTGAATGATGAACTCAGAATTCAATCTCGGCTCCCTGAACTCTAATCCTGAACTGGTAGCCATTACACCACAATGCAAAGGTGGCATGGTGGAGTAATGGATAGTGGCTTGGATTGAGGAACTGGAGAGCCGAGTTTGAATTTCAGACAAACCCATTACATTCACTTACATGTTGATACTCTTGGGAAAGGTATGAATCCTCTTCGCCCCCCCCATCTATGGGCAAATAGCAGAACAGACCGGGTTCTATAGCCTTGGATGGCAACTGGTCTAACATAGAAAGAAATGGCAACCTACTGCAGGAAAAAAAAATTACCTCGTCAGTCATGTATTGAAAGATACATGATTGCCTAAGCGTGTATCACGTGTGGCACATAACTGACTGAAATTATAAAGGGGTGCAGAAAAGTTCTCAGCCTGACCAAGAAGGGACTCCAAAAATATTTCTGATGTTTGGGCCAGATTTTGAGAAGTAGGCTGGACTCAAGAACTTTTCACTACGCCCTTGGGTAAAAATAAAAAAGAAAGAAAAACTTTCTGTAAACTGAAAACAAAAATTATTTTTTATGATAAATATTCATCTATATTACAATGAATATATTAAGGTATTATGTACAGTATTTACATTAGTCGGACTATTGTCCTCATCTTTGTTGCCATATTTGTCACAACGTTTCGGCCGTTGTCCTCAAGGACACATGGCACAGTGGATAAAGGCGTTGGTTAGATCCAGTGACAGACCCAAATAATGTGAGTTCAATACCCGGTTAAGGCAGTGGAGAACTTTCAGAGGGAAAATTAGCAGGAGATAACTGATATCCATCAAACATGGCACGTGGAACTAGAACAGTCTACCCCAGTGATCGAAATAAAGGGTTCAGTTCAAAATTCCAACCACCTGAAGAAAGCCGGAGTGTACAATGGCCGAAACGTTGTGACAAATATGGCGACAAAGATGAGGACAATAGTCCGACTAATGTAAATACTGAATATATTTTTATTTAATATTTCCTAAAACACACTATATGAGCATGTTTAGTTCAAATATCAATACTGTGATGACTTTTTTTTTGTTTTTTTTACATATTATTCCCCGAAACACTATAGCACTTATGTAGTGTCAAACAGTATTTGGTGTACAAGTTTGACAGCAACCAATACTAATTCTTTTGTCACCTTTTACAAACTTGCAGACTAGGTATAAAAGTCAATCACTAATGGCAGAGATAGATGTACCAAAAATTTAGTAACTTACTGCAAGGCTCACATACATGTCAGCTGTAAAAGGACTAGTACTTGACTAGCCACCCAAAGAGGTAGCAAAATAAGTTTTAAATAACAATAGTTACTAGTTTTAACCTGTGAAAATTTTAGTTTTCCTACTTGTAATTTCTAATGAATCAGAATTCTTAAGTTAATGTTTGAATAATCTCATGGCTAGTTCTACAACAATAGAATATCCGTAGAAGTTCCCCTATCACATTGTTAAATATTTGAGCTTAACAAAATATTAACAATCATAAATATGAATGCCAGTCATTATTTTAAGAAGTAAGGGGGTACAAATGAAAAGATCTGAAACTGACAACTTTTTTTCTATTTCAATGAAACTGATGTCAAACACTTGTATCTTCCTTTCTTTCATTTTCTGATTTGAAACCAAGTAGCATCATTGATTTATCTTATCTTCTGACATGATCAAAATGAATTAGTCTGTTATTTATGAGTTATTAGCAGATGTTAAACATTTCTATCTTTTTTTTTTTTTATTTCACTGAAACCAAATAGCATATCCGATAGGTCTTTTGTCTTTCCACGCAATCAAAACGAAATAGTCCATTATTTATTGACAGAGTTATTGGCAGGGTGTAATTGTCGTGCGAACTAACGAAAGGAGGGACAAGCACAATTATTATATAATAATAATAATAAATAATAATTATTTTAGTAACAAGCAGTAAAATAAGATTACAGCTGATTCCTCACTTGCGAGGGTTGAGGGAAGATTCTCCAATGCTGTAAGGTTCCATTCTACTTGGATTTATTTTTTCCCCTGAGCCTTCATAGATATTTGATCATTGGTCGGTTCTAGCAGTAGGCAGACATCTCTAGCGGAGATTCCTTCTGGGAATAGAGATATAGAAACACTCTTACCCGCGGGATGAAACTACAAGTCCAGAATCTGCAAATTACTCGGTTAAAACAAATTCATAGAGTAAAAAGATCCAGAGAAGTATGCGCGAGATAACAATTTACATTTTGTAAAATTAGCATTGGCAGATGAACAGTCATTCTTTGTGCTAGAATAATATAGTAACCAGTATTCCTATCATCAGACAGTGTGGCATATTTCCTAGGGTGACTGAAGAGATAATCATCTTCTGGCAGGCTTAATCTATAAGGCTTGCATTAAAAAAATATTACTGTTTTGCACTGAATAAATATTTGTTTTACTAAATATATATATATATATATATATATATATATATATATATATATATATATATATATAGTAATCTGTTGGCAAATTCCAGGTGAATCCTATTAGAATTTGAAATATGTTCAAACTGACTCACAAAGATGTTTATTTTCATTAAACAGAACAAAATTTTTTTACAAGTGGAATTAAGATACCTTTAGTTAATGACCATTTTCACCTATGAATTTTAATTTTAATTTTAAAATTTGGAGTATTTTCCAAACTGTTTCCAATATCAGTTTGTAGTGGGATACTATAGTATCTACAAACTGATACTGTAAACAGTTTTAAAAATCCTGCAAATTTTAAAATTAAAATTTGTAGGTGAAAAAATGGTCATTAACTAAAGGTATCTTAATTCCAATTGTAAAAGAGTGTACACACACACATATATATATATATATATATATATATATATATATATATATATATATATATATATACATATTAAATTAAATAACAGACAATGAATGTCTATTATGTCTGATCATGAGTAATTTTTAATGTTTGAATGTTTGATTTAATTTTGAGTGAAAATAAAGACAAAAATTGTCCAACATTTGGATATTTTTTTTTTTTAAGTTGGTATTAAGCTTTTGGCTCACATGAGCCATTCACAGAGTGGTTACACAGACAAGAAACAAAGATA